TGGCTATGACCCTGCTTGGGACGCTAAAAACAGCCTAAGCTGGTTGGCTGGTTTAAGCTGGAAGTAGCTGGTCTCCCAGCCTGGCAAAGCTGGTTTTAACTGGTTGTTCCAGCTGGTCTCCCACCCAGCCTGACCAGCTAAACAAGTGGTCAAAACCCCTCTAAAACCAGCCTGCTGACCAGCTATGACCAGACTGGATGACCAGCTAAAACCAGCCAACCTGTTTGGCTGGTTTTAGCTGTTATTTTTCAGCATGGGAGACTTTGGAAGTCAAACATAAACTCGACTTTTACATTTTCTTAAAGTGAATAATGCATGCAGAACTCACAACCATGATGCAATTGCCAGGGCATTGCTATATGGTTGCTTAAGTATTCTAAATGGTTACTAGGGCATTGCTATGTAGTTTTGTTGTTGTTGTTGTTGTTGTTGTTGTTGGTGTGTTGTCCACTTGTCCAAGTCAAAAAAGTGTCTCTGTGATATTCTGGTACTTAGGCCTTGGATCATTTAGTTCATTAACAAGTCACACAGTGAGGTATAATTCTGATTACGAATTACACATTATGAAGCACCACAGAAAATATAAACAGATCATGCAGATGTATAATTTTTAGAGTCCTACTTATCCTGTTGAAGATAACCCTCCAGAAGAGGGCAGCAGAATTTCACACTGAAGTGATAGTAAATGGACAAAGAGAGAGGGTCAGCACAGACTCTTAAAATACTTTTCTGTGTGACAAAGGATTTGAACCTTTGCATTTGTGTGATATAAACGGGGATCCAAAAACTCAAGGGTAAAACAAATCTCAATTCGGTGTGCTTTACCCCAGGCTGTTCTGGACCATCTGTGGATTCAGTATACTATAAAATGATTTTGATGACAGGGCATCTGCTAAATGATGAACAAAATCTCATATTTAAAGCACTTGGGAGACATTCACAAACATTTCCATCTATCAAGTCAGCAAGATCCTTCCATTTTCAGTGATGTGTGGGCAAACTTTCTTTATTATTATTATTATTCTTTTCTCGCTTTCTTCATCTTTTTTATTGCTATTCGAGAGATACTTGCCGGATATGCTGAAGTAAAGGCACATATATATATTAATAAACACAAACACAGGTAAAGTTGATAAATACTGTTGTCGTATAAGAGGCGAATAATACATTGAGTATGAATACTACTGTACATGAATAGGTGAGACATTAAACACACTGTACAAAGACAACATTTTACAACTTTACATTGTCCGTAGCAGCTCACTATACATTCACCTGCCGTCTTTCTCACATGCAAACATCAGAGAGATGAGCAATCGATCAAACACACATGAACTCTGGTGGGCCACAGGCCTTTTCAGACATTAAGGGGAGAATTCAGAGTTGAAGTGCGCATGTTTTTTTGCATGCATTATTTTCATCCTAATGTATTTCTGCCCCATTTCTGCCACATAAAGTATAAGATGCTTTGGTGAATCATACTTATGATACATACTTAGGACTTATGATATAAAAAGGACATTTTTTTTTTGAAAAGTCAAAATTATGAGATAAAATTCAACATTATAACATAAAAAGTTAATATGAGATAAAAGTCATCAGTCAAAAACTAACTGAAATTGACCAAAAAATTCATACTTTTGACTTTTTATATCATATTTATGACGTTTTTGTCATAATTTTGACTGTCATAATTACATTTTTTATGTCCATTTCAACTTGATCTGAAATATGACTTTTCAGTTTCAAAAGTTTCAACTTTTGAGCATAATTGACTTTTTATGTCATAATTTATCTCAAATATATTTTGCTGTCATGACTATGACTATCTCATAATTCTGACTTTCTATGTCATAATGATTTATCTCATAATTATGCCTGTCATAATTTTGACTGTCATAACTGACTATCATAAATTCACCTTTTTCATAATTGACAATTCCTGTTATAATTTAGAGTATCTCAAATATGACTCAAATATGATAAACTATCTCATAATTATGACTTTCTCTGTCATGATTTATCTCATAATTATGCCTTTCAAATTTTTGACTGTCATAAAATTAATATTTTTTCACAATTGACATTTCCTGTCATAATTTAGAGTATCTCAAATATGATTCAAATATGATCAACTATCTCATAATTATGACTTTCTATGTCATGATTTATCGCATAATTATGCCTTTCAAAATTTTGACTGTCATAAAATTAATCTTTTTTTCACAATTGACATTTCCTGTCATAATTTAGAGTATCTCAAATATGACTCAAATATGATCAACTATCTCATAATTATGACTTTGATGTTATAATTACATATTTTTTGTCAATTATTTCAGTTATGACTTTTGTCATATTTTTGTCAATGAATTTTATCTCAAAATTATGATTTTATCTCATGAATGACTTATTAATCACTTATTTTATCTCATAATTATACATTATGTCATTTGAATTACAATTATGGCTTTTGATTTCACAATCATGATGTTTTTTATGTCATAATTGTTTTTATCTCATAAATATGACATTTAATGTCATAATTATGATTTAACAAAGCATATTTTTTTCCCACAAGTTTTAGCTCCTGATTCAAAAAGGCATTATTTAAATGAAGTAACAGTGCAAACTAAATCTGTACTGCCATGTTCAATAGAGAATGTACACAAACAGCTCTTGAAAATGAAATTTCGGGACGTTAATTGCAGCAGGCAAATATTGGTGGGTTTTGTGAATAATACACACTCCATAATTAGCCTAATTTGCATATCCATAAAGGAGGTATGTTTGCACTGAAAATAATGACAATGACTTTATCGCCTGGTTAAATTGGATTATGGTTAGGGAATGCGACATAGGTTTTCGCACTAAAATACAGCGAGTGAATTCACCCCTCAATGAGTCTTACCAAAAAGTTCAGAACAAGCCGCTTCATCATCCAGCAGCTTCTAGGCTTCCTCAAACACAGGTTTCGTATTGTTCCAAAGTCAAAAAAAAAAAACTCTACTACACGAAAACATTTGTTTTGATAAATGTTAAAGCCAAATGAGGTAACACCGAAGGGGTCTTTTGCCTTGTCTTGTGCTTTAGTAACACTAATCTCAATGTGTTCAACAACGTCCTTACATAAGGACTTGTGCCTCAGGACTCTTACAAATTAAACTCATCCTTCATTTTAACCAACATAATTAGCATCGGGAGTGGTTGGAATACAAACACTTACGAGCCATCACTCAGAGAGCTATTTGTTTAAGCCGACATGATTTTTGGAGGTAATTTCCCAAGCTGATTGTTTTTGGAGGCAGGCCAGCACGAGGGAACGAGGCACTCGCGGAATGAGCGATCCAAGACCACACAAGAGAGAAAATCACTTGGATTTATCTTACACCGGCTCTGATCTGAAAAACGGCAAAATTAATCGGTAAATTTCCCCTTTATTCCGATGTCTACAAGAACACAAGATGTGTGCTCGCTTCACTCTCTGTCCTGCAGAGATGCACGTTTTGGCTTCAATGCATCTTTGCAGCATTACACACACTCTCACACACACGCGCACGAACATAAAATATCACACTCGTTCTTGAGTTTCACAACTGACAAACTGTGCATTTGGAATTAATACAGATATATTTACAAATATATAAAACCACCCAATGAGGACACTGGAATGGAGGAGGCCAACCTCTTATAAAGGTCTATGAGACCTACGAAAGAACTGGGAGTGATTACCCCACTCCCATGACCACAGTATTTACAACACACATTTCCAAATCCTCCTATGAATTCCGCTCTAAACCAAACAGAGTGTATGGGAACCTCAGATGCTGATATGTTATGACAACTACGATTTTTGCTGCATGTCACTACAAGCAGGTCATGTCATCTCCATTCAGGCTTGCGGACAAAATATCAACACTGGAAATGGATGGAACACCTCTGACTATATAAACACCTACGCTGACCAAACGACAATCTGTAATGGCGACACGAGGAGGTGTTATTGAGGGACACAGTGACCTCTCTCATGTGTGTTTTCAAGTATTATCAGGAGCACAAATGCAAAAAAAGCCTTCTGTGTATACTTTTACCCATAAGATGTTCTACATTTAGCTAACAGCTAACAGCTAATACTTTATCGAGGGGCTTTTTGAATGACACTGTTAATGAGCGTTTTATATCAACAAGCACTTGTAACCATAACAGCCCTCTTTCTCGATGAGGAGCGGCCGAAATGTGTACGTCGGTCAGCTTTGAACGTTTCTAAAGGAGGGAACGGCAGATTCCTGTTGGGATCTGAGAGTTTGTATCCATATATCAAGTCCTGGTCTGAATCCAGACTCAAACTTGGGTTAGGTCTCTGAATTCAATATCCCAACTGAAGTCCAGATTGTTAGTTTGATGGGTAATGTGTGGGTTGAATGTACATACGAACGCTTTGTAGCGCACTGCAGCAAGATTTCTCTTCCGAGGACTTGAGGTTTTTGGTTGGTGGCCAGGAATTGCTATTGATTCTTGAAACAGATTCTGGCTGCTCGTCCGCACGGTCCAGTAGTCTTTATCTTTCCGTATGGCTAGTTGCAAATTTGGCCTTTAGAGACTTTGTCTCCCGGCGCCTTGCTCTGCGGTTCTGGCATTATTAGGTGAACAAATTGCTTGAATTCAGAGCAACAGTTTCAGTCGCAGTTCTAGCTCTTCGAGTAGTTTCTGAATATATGCTTCTCGGCCAAGCTGGGAAAGTTCCCAAGAACTTTTTCAAAAAGAGCTGTTCAGGTGACCCTTAAATCAAGAAATAACCTGTCGGATTTATGGAGATTCTGAATTTTTGTTCTCAAATCGTATGTTCAAGCCTGCTTATTCTCCATCAGTTGTTTAGTTCTGAGTTTGGATAATTTCTGAATACTTTATGAATCCATCCAGTATAGAAGGCCACGTTCACGAAAATGGCCGGTCGGTTGTGTCGGGCACATCCTCTGCCGTTTATGCTCACGCCGACAATGACTTTACTGTTACTCTCTTGGCATACCAGAGGGCCGCCATAGTCTTTCTGTGAGCATGAAAAATACAAAAAACTAAAGGTAAAAGGTATAACAAAGGTAAAAGTGCAACCAAAACCATTATAATGTGTTTCAGTTAGAAAATAAGATTGCATTTGTCTCAATATGTCAGCGATTTAAATAAGTAGCCATTCAACCATTCAAAAGTTTGAGGTCGGAAGATTTTTAAAAGTATTTTTCAAGAAGTCTCACCAAAGCTGCATTTATTTGATCAAACATGTTTTCTATTTGAATATATTTTCAAATGTAATATAGGAAAAAAATATTTCTGTAACGACAAAGCTGAATTTTCAACATCACTACTCCAATCTTTAGTGCCACATGAAAAAAAAAAAAAGTCAAATTTCTTCTTATTATTGATGTTTATAACAGTTTTGTTGCCTTTTTTTTTTTTTTTTTTCGTTTTACTGTATTAAAAAAGAAAAGGAAAACATTAAGGAACTGAGCCAGACTTGTCTAAAACATTTTGTGATTTTTGTGTTATACCTGATATAATTCTAACTATAAAAAATAAAACATTCTGATTTTTGCATAAAACCAATATACTTTTTGTGTAGGATTCTTTGATTAATAGAACATGCAAAAGAATCACTTTTATTTTGAATAGATATATTTAAAACAATGCAGAAGTCTCTACTGGCAATGTAATGCATTATTGCATTAAAATCATTCATTTCTGACCAAATGAATAAAAATAAAACACTTACTGACCCCAAACTTTTGAATGGTAGCACATCCTGCAGAGAGTAAATCTAGTGAATAAGCTCACCTCGCACACTCCTTCATCTCTCCTGCCACCAGCACACAGTTTTGAACTAGTGATCGGAATTGTCCCTTTGTGAAGCTGCTGGCATCGTTCATTGCTCACTATTGGCAGATTAACTCTTTTCAATGTTCCCTCATGTCCAGTGCCTGAGAAAGCCAGAAAACACTCTATTAGAGACTATATTTGGCACATTTACTTGAATATGAACTCAGATTTGTGTGCTTTCCCTCCTGCTTTCACACTGTTACGCTATGTAGTTCCAAACCGCAAAAAGCTTCCAAAATGATTTCATCATCAACATGAATTATTTTGGAAGCTGTTTGTTAATGTTGCCTCACAACAAAACTAGAACTTACTTTTTTTTTGCTCTCACATTTTAAATATTTGGAGCATTTTTGTGACTTTTTTCCCCCAAGCCCTGGTTAATTTCCTACCCTGCTTCCATTTTTACAATGTATTCTAGTGCTGTTCCTTGGTGTGCACACAAGTTTGGGTAATGGATTCATGCTAATTATAAGAACCAAACTTTATGGTCAATTGAAGACACTGGGTGGTTGTTGTGTTAGGCTGGAAGCAAGACAGCAATGTTGTGTGCCTGTAAAGCTGTCAGGTGGTGGGAAGTCTCTGAAGACTGACTCTTAAGTTGAACCCACCTTTGGTCTCACCCCAGCCGTACACAGAGCATATGGTGTCCTCCTGAATGCTGCAGTCCGCCACGGGCAGCTGAATAATTCTGACACGCTCTCTTGGGAGTGCAGGTCTGTGTGAAAGAGCAACAGAGAGGTCATTTCATCAACAACAAAGGAATAAGATCAGAGATGGAATATATTAATAATATACATATTGATTAATCGTCAGTTCTTACCGAGTCAGTCGGAGCAGAGCGAGACTAGAGCCTTCCGGGCCACAGATGACTTGCGAGATTCTTCTCTCCTGTCTGTGGAAGTCATTCTCACCCGACTCGTTCAAATGGGATATACCAAGCCAAACTCTATACTCTGATAGGTCAGGCACACTGGGGGGAAAAGCATATCATAAAAGTATGATTTCAAGTTTTGGGCATAAATTATTCATAAATTAATTTGTGTGTGTGTGTGCCAGTAATTTAGTTTTGTATGACCATTTTCTCTGATCCTTAACATTAAATGGGACATTTTCTATGTCTTTCATGCCAACAGCTTTTTATAATGAGGTGCATCAGATATACTAGAAAACTGCATGTTTACAAGTACAAAATTAATTTTTCAGCCTCTTTGCAATTAAAAATTTCAGAATAAATGGTTTTTGCAGCTTTGATTTTACAAATGGTCTTAAAATGGTATTATTTTTAGACTAGGAAGGATGTTACAGTATGATTTTGTAGTAAAATTAATCTTCTTATCTCAAAAGTTCAAGCTAAATTTGATTCCCCGTGATATGACCTCTATATTCTTTTTGTGGATATGTAGATATATGGATGTTTCATGCTATAAGATGCATGTTCTAAAACATCTGCAGCTTTGATTTGTTGGGTTACATGCTCAAGACAAATCATGGAAGCCCACTGATCACTGACCCTGTGACCCTGAGAATCCAGAGGTCATGGCCAGGGCACGACGGTGACTGTGCAGCAAGGCTGGAGATAATTACCATGACGAGAAGCACTGTCTGTCTGTCAGCACCCACTCCTCCCTGACCAGAGAACCTCCGCACCAGTGAGTGCTCCTGAAGAGACCGAGAGACATGAGACAGTGACGCATCTCCAACATGACTCTCTCACATTATAAAACATGACAGCGCAGGGCTTTACTTCTGAGGAGCTGTCTGAACACTGACTTCATGGACGACTGCACTTTATTTGGAGGGAATTTTACAGTCAATCTGCCTGCGATTTGCTTTTTAGGAAAACAGACAATGTGTATACTTCTTGCTTGATATAAAGAAAGTGGATACAAAGATTTGGGAAACGCAAACACCCTGTAAAATTACTGTAACTTAACTCTTACTGGAACAGTAAAGACAAAATTGTTCTTTTTGCTGTGGAGTCAAGAAATCTGTAAATATGATTAAAAGATTAATATTAGACAAAACTACAGAATGTCACATTTTTATTATTGGGTGTTTCAACACATAAATGTTTTACCAGCTAAGAAGATCAGCACGTTTAGAGTTCAACCCACTATCTGATGTGAGCATAAGTATTGGAACAGTTGCCTCACAGGTCTTTCTGACTGATCAGATGTGTCCTGTTGCATTCATTCTTCAGATATTAAAAGCAGGGAATGTGTCGTATCAGTTATATCCATTGCTTCTGCATTCTGAGTCTTGAATTCGATGATGACACACACAAACCAGGATGAAGACGAGGGAGCTGACTCTGAGAGAAAAGCAAGCAATTTGGATGCTAAAAGGAAAGAGGAAGTCAATTAGAGCTATAGCAAAAACTGAGAAATCAAGAGTGTGGAGACCACCGGAGACATCAGCAGCCAACAACGACCTGATCGCCTGAGAAAAACAACAGCAGTCGATTTATATAAATTAATGTATAAATGAATTATATACAATTATATAAGCCCTTTTTGCTTGATATATTTACTTACAAATCTAAAATGTTTAATAAATAAATAATAACTAATAAAAAGTAATAAAATAATAATAAAAAGTCATTTTAAAAACTGTCCATTAATGACATTTCTGACTAAAACTGTGGAATAAAATAATTTAAAGCAGGAAATTCCAAATAAATATGCTTTATAGTCAATGAAGTCTTACTAAAATTACATACTGGTAATTCTTCACCTTTCAATAAATACACATGGGTAAGTCTTGAGTTACCAATTCTTAGTGCACCACACATAATGTTTGTTAATGATATTATTTAACAATGTTATCTACATATTTTGCAAATTGCTTACCCTCTCTGTATGCTGACCATCCAGCTGCCTTCTTTAATCCGGACAGGCCCACCACCGACGATTCTCACCTGCTTGTGAACAAAACATGAGGTCTTTGTACCCTCATCTGTAAAGAGAAGAGAAAAGACCAAATGAGAGGTGACATAGAAGTTTATCAGAACACAGAAAAACACACAAATTCACAAATGTGTTTTTGAAATAATCTTTCTAATGTAATCTGAAGCAAAAGAATATCAGCTGGAAATCTGCACAGTTTAACAACACTTGAAAGACATGATTACCTTTTTGAGGTAGACAGTTATGTGAGGGCTCACCTAAAAAGGAAGGAAAAGGAAAGAAAGCTTATTTTTGTTCTAAGCAATGAATAGGCATGAGAAATGAAAAAAAGATGTGGTCACCAGTGATGGCTGTTTAGAGTATAATTTGAGTGAAAGTGTGTGAGGTCTTTAGCATAGGACTAGTCTTGGTCCAGCATGTGGGACCAGTTAGACCTGCGCAGCACTGAAGCTTAACTTATACATGCAAGTGTGTGTGTGTGTGTGTGTGTGTGTGACAGAGACAGAGGGAGTGCTGACAGTCTGAGCCACCTGGACTTTACACTCTTTAATTAAACTGAAACCTCTGTGGAAAGTGTGCACATGTGTGTGTGAGTGATTGATGTGCCGTATGTAGATTCGTAACACATGGCCTACATGCTCAACACAAGTCTGCGGTGTCAATGATGAGAGTGCAAGTCAACAGAAAAGCATATGTGGGTACATAATGGTCAAAAATATGGTTATTGTCTGTAATGTATAAAGAAATCAACAGTCATGCTTTAATATAAGTAAGGATAGATGGGCTCAAATGAAAGTTAGTGACATTACTTGTACTTAAGTATAAAACTTCCAACACAAGTGTGTGAGAGCTGTTAAATTCTACGAACAATTGAGTGACCGAGTTCTTAACTCTTTAAAAGGTTGGGGTCAAAGGTTTTTTTATTTTTATTTTTTTAAAGAAACTAATACATTTATCAGCAAGAACATATTAAAGTGATCAAAAGTGGCAGTAAAGACATTTGTAATGTTAAAGAAAGGATTTGTATTTTAAATAAAGAAATGTTTTAAAAATTTCTATTCATCAAAGAATTCTGAAAATATTAAGCAACACATCTGTTTTCTATGGAAGCCTGTTTCTGCCACTGAATAAAAAGTTTACATCTCGCAATTCTGACTTTTTTCTCACAACTGCATGGTATCAATTCGCAATTCTAAAAACATATCAGTCTTTTTTCTCCTCAGAACTGGACTTTATAACTCGCAATTGTGAGTTTATATCTCAAAATTCTGAGAAAAAAAAGTCAGAATTGCAAGTTAATATCTTGCATTTCTGACTTTATTTCTCGCAATTGCGAGTTTATATCCCACAATTCTGACTTTACATCTTGCTATTCTGACTTTATAACTCACAATCATGAGATTATATCACGCAATTCTGAGAATAAAAGTTAGAATTGCGAGTTTATATCATGCAAGATTGAAACAAGATGTAAGATGCAAGATGTAAACTCGCAATTGCAAGAAAAAAAGTCAGAATTGCAAGATGTAAACTCGCAATTGCAAGAAAAAAAAGTCAGAATTGCAAGATGTAAACTCGTAATTGCAAGAAAAAAAGTCAGAATTGTGAGAATTTTTTTAAAATTTAGTAGCAGAAACAGGCTTTCATAGTTTTCAACATTAATAATGATAAGAAATGTTTCTTGAGCATCAAATCAGCATATTAGAATGATTTCTAAAGATACTGAAGACTTAAGTAATGGCTACAGAAAATTCAGCTTTGCCATCACAGGAATAAATTATATTTTACAATTTTATTTAAAAAAAAAAAACAGTTAATTTGAATCACATAAAGCAAATAAAATACTTTTCTTTCTCATAAGAGACTTTTTTATTTTTACCGCAATCAAATCAGTGAATTCGTTGTCTGACTGATTGAGACATTGGTGGTTTTAATTCACAATGGTTCTAAACTAATTGTTCAGCTGCATTTCAGACACAAACTGGTTCAACTAATTTAATAAAAGTAACCATTTTAAACAAATAACTTACATTACGATAACTTGCAACTTTGCAGCAAAATATATCAATTTGATTTTCAAAATGTAGCTTTTTATGGTTTCTTTTTCATACTTTTATGTTCTGATCTAACTATGCACCTCTGGTTATTGTATGGTGACATAGTTCATTCTAAATTAATAAAAAACAGAATTTTATTCTATTTTAGGCAATATTTTTTTAGCATTTCACTTTTTGGGTTCAGTGGTTTACATTAGCCCCATATTCCTCAGCTTGTGTTAGACTCTTCATGTTTCAAGCAGCATTTTTAGTGAACCCAAAGGTCTCAATCAGGTTGTAATGTTAGCACAGACAACATGCTGCTCACTCACAGGGTTTGAGAGAGCAGTAATCCCAGGGGATGGATGAGCTGTTGGTATAACACCACGGGCCATGTTTGTCCTTGTCTGGGTTTCTGCAGAAGTCCCCCGCCTGTTCACCCATCAGCAAGTCCACATCTCTTTCATTACTGAGAACAAAAACAAATCTCATCATTACAACAGAAGATGTGCAGAGTGAAAATTAACATATTAATATAAACATTCAAAACAGGTGCATCATTCAGGCAAATGAAAAAATGAAAAAAAAAAAAAGTCAATCCAGTGTTTGTAACAAAACAATACATCTAAATCCATGTAGGAGAAGAGTCCAAAAAACATCTTCTTCTCAAAAGTTCATCTTAAGCCCCAGCTGTGTGGAGCTCCTCTCAGGAGGCAAGGTGAAGTATTTAGCTTGTGCATTACTCATGACATGTTTCCCCAAGCTTTTCCACATTATCACTCAGATTCAGGAAGATCCACAGATGCTACAATTCTCCAAACGTTCACCAGAGACCAAAAGTGCTACAATGAAGAGCACATGCATGGCACCAATGATTTTCTTGGCATGCTACTCTAGGGTTCATACAATGTAAACAATCTACGCCTAATGCCCGTCCAACAGCTTTGCAACCCGGCCGTGGCAGCTCACAGGCTGTGGGCCAAATAAAGCAGCTGATTGGCTTTGATGTGTTCATGGAGAAGGGTTAGGGCGAGGAAAGGGGTCAGAGGGTGGCTCTAAAGAATCCCGTTCCAGCTGGGTTGGCCTGCCTGCAATTTTTAGGGAATTGAGTCACTCCAACTGCTCCATGTTTACCATCAATTAGAGCTCTTCAGAATGGGGGTCCTGCACTAAAACGTGTTTTTCTTCCTCAGAAATCCGTGAGGGTCTTATTTTCTCAACGAAGACAAACGCAACCTGACAATCCCTGAGCTTTGCATCAATGAGCTGGCGGGGTTCTGGAAAGGTCGACCTTTGACCTGGAACTTGTTCATAAAACAGGGAAGTTATTTAACGCCACACATCTCAGGGTGAGTGTGGATGGCAGAAACAACACAGACCTTTTGCGGAAACGATTGCTCGACTCCTCTGAGACTTACACACGCACGCTCACTGATAATGTGCCAATGCACATTAAACACAGGCAAAACCATAACTGCATTAGAGGAAATAGACCACACCTGGCAGGAACAAATATAAACCCTTGCTATTTAACACTCCAGAATGGCTGTAAGTAACTGTGAATGCATATTTGATAGCTCCATCTGCTTACATATATTTTAAAAAACATGAGATATTTCACAAAGCATCTGTCCCATTTATTCACTCTCACCAATTTAACGACAACTTGCTGTGATTGACCCTTGAACCTAATGACTAAATGGAGTTTGTTCACCTTGCAAAGCGGCACAAAGGCATCATGGGATTGTCCTTGAGATCCTGCATAGCAAGATGTGGACCTAGTTTGGTTTCCATGGAAACTGAGTGAATGTCCATGACTGAATCTATGCGCTGTACCGATATAAATGATGGTTCTGCTTAATACTAGACTATGGAAAATTCATAGAGAAAACTAAATGTGTGTCCATACTGAAGGACTGTAAAAAATCAGTTTCTTGTCTCTGAATCTGTGCATGCTATTTATTCAGTTTTAAGCTCAAGTGATTTAAAAAATCTAATATTTACTCTGAAATTAATACACACAGACATTTATTTTGCAGTGTAGACATGGATGGACAGCTCTTACCTTTCACTGTGGTCTTTCCATGGAGCACAAGGGATGCCAGAGCGTGTTTTTGCCCGTTTTCCATTGTATGTGTCACCAATGCCCGTATAACACTCTGAAACAACATGGCCAGACAAAAAACATTATATTTTCAAACTAAAGCAGATATTATAAAGGGGTTGTGCAATAATAGTAAACAACAACATTTTCTGTGAGTGTGCTTGCCGATGCAAAACTCACTATGATATTTTGTTACTTTTTTACTTACGTAGATATGGGTCTGGTCCCTCATTAAAATTTAATTTTACCATTTTTCAGGCAAAAACTCTACATAAAATTGCTTAGAAATTAATATCACATTTTTCCTCAACCAGTTGTCTGTGTTTAGTATTTTTTATATACTATTAATTAATATTTTGAATATTAAATCTTCAGTTTCCTTTTGAATTTTAGTTTTAGTAATTTCTTTATGCTATTCTGTCATTTTTTTTATTTATTTTTTTATTTCAATTTAGCTTTAAATTATTTTTTGATGAATTTACATTTTAGTTTTTGTAATTTTAGTACTTTAACTTATTTATTTCAGTTAGCTGCCAAGGCATCATGTCTAATTTTCATTTCATTTAATACATTCTTTATTATTTAATTTTATTTTACACAAAAGTATATTCAATCAGTTGTTTTTATGCCACGGCAGAAGGCTATTTTCATGGCAAAAGAGGACAAAAGGTAAATACACAAAATATGTCATAAACAAATAGGATAAATCAATTACATACAGAAAAATAAAACTTTGCTTTTAATCAATGCTGTTAACCTAAATGCCTCAAAATTATTATCAAACTCTGCAAGTCGAAGTGCTTAAAGAAACACAGCAGGTTTGTGGAAACACACTGCTTATGGAAACACAGCAGGGCTCCCAGTGCACCACAATAGTCGAACGATCATCCCAACGGCCTCAATTGGAACACCGGCTAAATCGATCTTAACATCAGCGCTTGTGCGAGTCCTTCTCTGAAGCGTCTCCTGGGCCCTGCCAGTCACACGAAGCTGTCAGCAGTGATTAATGCTTGACTCATGCTGTCTCATTCCCACACTGTGGCTCCTGGTCCCTGCACATGTTTCAAACAGCCCCCATTAGTGGCCGTGGAGATCGGACTACAGGGACCACCGTATACCGATGCCAAGACAGCCAAGAAAGAGCAAATGAAAGAGAGTGAAAAGAAGGGAGAAAGAGCAACGACATTATTGAGCATCATGAAAAGCAATTATTTAGATATTATGTCTTGCTGGGGAGGATTAATAAGAACAAAGTCAAGGAAGTTTTTTGAGGATCGTTTTGATATGCAAAGAAGGAACTACTTCAAAAGTTATAGTCTTCTTTTTTTACCCAGCCAGAGAAACACAGTTGGAAGAACGCCAGCCATAACATCATGGAAAACAAGCTCAAGCCAGTAGATTATAAACATGTTTCTGAAAAGCAAATAAGTGTAATAGGTTTTATGATCGCTGTCTGTAAACTCGCCTGGCGTACTGGAATTTTCGCTCGCAGTACAGAAATACACATCTAGATGGAGAGGAGGCAAAGCCAGGGTCAGACATGTGACCGAACTTCATGAGGGTTGAATGTCTCCGGACAAGGGCATGGCTTGAAATACTCTACCAATAAGCTACAGCTGCAACAGTGCTTTGACCAGATGATTAATATTTGAAACAATTAATTTCAGTGTGCACTGAAATGTTCAAATGCATTCAAAAGTATCAATATGCCTTGGATTTCAATAAAACAGTAAATTTCTCCCTGGATTTTCTAAAAATCAAGGATGCTGATATTTTACATAGAATTATCTGTATATTAATGTGACTGAGCTCAGATTAGTCTGTAAGAGTTCATGGCCTGAAAAAAAAGTGCAACAATGTGATCTTGTGCATGACAAATACGGTTGAGAACACGTGACACTCTTGAACATTAGCTACCCAATAAGGCAATGCCTTTCCATGGTAGCTTCACTGAATTCAAAACACAGTAGCCTTGTGTAAGATGACTGTGTGCAACAAACAGACACTGATGACATGAAAAAAAGTGGTGTATATATATATATTGTTTTACTGTTATTTAAGAACATATGCTGTAATAAATTTGAGTTCTTATGAAGAGCAATGAGGTCTAAATGATTAAAGGGGTCATATGATCACGTTTGGTCTCGTTCTGTATCGCGTATCTTGTCAGTGTCTGCGCTTGCTTGGCCATTTGTTGTGGAGAAAATAAGGAAAGTGTGTTCAAGCGCCAGCAGAAAACAGTGTAAAGAAATAGTCTTTGAGAGAAGCAGTCTTTATCAGCGGAAGTTAAAAGCAGCTCGTAAGTGTATTTACTTGTGTCATTAGTGTTTAGTGCAGCTGTCGTTGCTAGGAAACGCTTGTTTTGTTTACTGTGTGGAGACGTGCTGATATCGCATTTGGTCTCGTTCTGTATCGCGTATCTTGTCAGTGTCTGCGCTTGCTTGGCCATTTGTTGAGGAGAAAATAAGGAAAGTGTGTCCAGCTGAATTAATTTAGTATTTTGTTAGACGGGTATAAAAAAGCTTAGATGACTTATACTGTCTTTTTACGCATTGCGTTGCATCGCGCTGCATCGCGCCACGTAAACATAAAACCATGTAAAAAAACGTACTTACAATCTGTGAGTCAGAACAGCCAGCATTGTAGTCTACTCTACCAGGATCAGTAAACAGTCCTCCATAAAATGT